ACCATGTTGACCAGGATGGTCTCGATCTCTTGACCTCGTGATCCACCCGCCTCGGCCTCCCAAAGTGCTGGGATTACAGGCTTGAGCCACCGCGCCCGGCCCCACCATTAGTCTTAAGAGTTCACACCTCTTTTACCTTCTCTCAGGCAGCATTTCAAAGACCTAAAGATATTTATATCATTTTTAGTCTTTTCTAGCCTAAAAAGCTTCAGTCTCCAAAAATTTGAGATAATCTGTATACCCTGTGCTCTCTCCAGGGTAAACCCCTTGAATACTTGCTAACTAGACAAGGACATTTTTAAACTGCAGCGCTCACAAATAAAGACCCTCACTCAAGAGAAAAACAATGTGGAGTTCACACAGTTATGATCTGCACAGAGAAAGCTCTAACAATGACAACTACAGCTTGGCCCAATCTTCTGTATCTTCAAAACAGGAGAGATGTGATAGATTTCCCGAATAAGATCTCTGATTTACTATAGCACTGGTTCTCAATCACTTTTCAACAATGCAACACCTAAGGATAAGCAATATGACCAATTCTCATATGAAACAAGACTCATGAATGGAACAGAAAGGGGGTGGCGTGTGTGAAAAAGCCGGTAACATGTCTGAATCTGATAATTCTAGATTTGAGAGCAACAATGTTTACTATACTAAAAGCCGAAATACAGATTAAATTCTAAAACAACATAAAAAATTGAAATGAGAACTTTATTAACATTCTAATAAGCTACCAGTATGGTTAGCCAGAAAGCCAATTAATGAGCTTTCCATTTTGCAAAGCTTTACTCCACGTTTAATACATAAAGCTGTATTTCACTCTCCTTCCCCAAATGATCACAAAAGGATTTTTTTATAAAGGGGGAAAGGTAAATAAATTTAACCCTACAAAAGCCCAGAAAACATTTCTCCATCAAAATTCAAAGCGGAAAAGCCAAGTATGTTCTGTCACTTTAAAAAACATATATTAAGACATATAATAAGACAGAATGGTAAAACAGTATCCCCAAAATTAATACAGGAGAATGTGCCAATCAGTAATATAAATTTGAGCATCAAGAATGGTATCAAAAAATCAGAGATGGTTTTGAGGGTCAGTTGGTGAATACGAAGGAAAATGATCCAGAAACAAAGCTAATAAAAACAAATTTAGAGGCCGGGCGCGGTGGCTCAAGCCTGTAATCCCAGCACTGTGGGAGGCCGAGGTGGGTGGATCACGAGGTCAAGAGATCGAGACCATCCTGGTCAACATGGTGAAACCCCGTCTCTACTAAAAATACAAAAAANTAAAAATACAAAAAATTAGCTGGGCATGGTGGCGTGTGCCTGTAATCCCAGCTACTCAGGAGGCTAAGGCAGGAGAATTGCCTGAACCCAGGAGGTCGAGGTTGCGGTGAGCCGAGATCGCGCCATTGCACTCCAGCCTGGGTAAAAAGAGGGAAACTCCGTCTCAAAAAAAAAAAAAAACAAATTTAGAATTCACACATCTTGAAAAACATACCCCTTTTAAGATATACAAATAAAAGAAACTAATTTTTAAAAAGTGAGTGGTGGTGGGGAGCATTCAACAATTCACAAATTTGGACCCACAGGCCAACATCTATTTCTGTGACGTGGATATGAAGACAAACTGATATAAAAGTATCAAAAGCTGTAATCTAATTAGACCACAGACAATATGCATCTGAAACTGAACGATGATCGCAGGTTCCCAAACAGTGATGCAATTAGTCCTTGGGGTAGGCTGGCAGGGGAGGTCCTAGAATGACCAGAATCCCAGAACGGTTACCTTCATCCCTGAGGAGCCTTCCGCCTTCAGCAGCATCCTCCAGGGAACATGCCAACATCAAATTTTTCTAAATGCATCCCAGTGTAAAAAAGGTTTGGAGACAAGGAATTAATAGTGATTTCCCATTAACAGAACAAATAGGTGACAAATTAACTGAGTCTTCAGTTTTAAATTTTCCTATCTATGAAAGTCTCTAGTTGATAAGAAAGTCTCTTAGTCTCTAGAAAATATCTCATCTAGGCTGTTTTCAATCATCCAATTATTTTCTGCATTACACCAACCCTTCCAAGAACTTTATAATCTTGAGCCCTAGTCTAGAAAAAATGAAGATTCTCAGCAAGATATAATGGAAAAGTTTAAGATGGTACCTTAATGGCCATCTTAATTTGGTAAATATATCCTGAGTATAAATCACCAGAAGTTTGTTTTAACTGTGATGAATTAGTCATTGACCCAGAGTAGTAGTAGTCATTTTGTCTGTGGTTCCTTTAGCCTTGCTATTAGCAATACTTGATAATAAATCTTTCAAAGTCAATGCCTATTTTCACCTTTTTACAAATTCACCTAGAGGTGCAGTTAAACTGTACTCACCTGAATCTGAATAGGAAGATTATCTTTGACTGTATTTAACAGGGTCTCTGTGGGTTTGTCTTTGCACATTAAAACCAGCTCCAAGTCCATATCATCTTTGATCAGCAAGCCTTTTGCAACCAGGCCAATCCTCATTACACCGCACAATGTCCGACCACCTTGATCCCTAAAAATAAAAGTCTGCATGATTACTTTCACAACCTACTTCCCAAACCATAACTTAATCATCACTTGGCTTCCTGAATATCCTTAAGAATTGATAAGTGAGTATGTAAATCCAGACATCCAAGTATCCACAAAATTAAGTCTCAGATTTGAGGCTTATAAAGTATCTCTATCTTCCCTCAAGGATTTAATGGGGAACATATTTCATACTACAGATCTTTTAATTCTTTACTGCACTTACATTGCTTAAGAAAACTCAAAAATACTGTATCCTCTTAAGTATTTTTTCAAATTGTTCTTTTTAAACTTCCTTCTGGCCAGGTGCAGTGGCTCATGCCTGTAATCCCAACACTTTGGGAAGTCAAGGCAGGAGGATCATTTGAGCCCAGCAGTGGAAGACCAGCCTGGGCAACATAGTAAGACCCTGTCACCACAAAAAATTCTTTAAAATTAGCCAAGTGTAGTGGCAGGTACCTGTAGTCTCAGGCACTCAGGAAGCCCAGGAGAAAAGATTGTTTGAGCCCAGGAGGTCGGGGCTGCACTGAACCATGTTTGCACCACTGCACTCCAGCCTGAGTGACAGAATGAGACCCTGTCTCAAAAAATAAACTTCCTTCTGTTTTAGTAGTAATTAGGGAATTTGTGAGGGACATGAATACCATGGTATAATGAGAAAGAAGATCAGCGTATAAATCTAAAATTTATATGGATTCTACTAGTGGTGCCTGCTGACTCAGTATCCACAACAGTAAAATGACTACTGGCTAGAGGAGCTTCAAGTTCCTCCCAGCTGTATCATTCTAAAGTTCGTCCCATTCTATATCAGCTTATGGGGAAAGCAGAACAATGTAGCATAGAGCTGAGGAAGGAAAGATAAACTGCCAGCATATGCATTCCAAATCCATGAGTAGCTAGAAGAGCAAACACTCAAAGAACATCAAGTCATGAATGGTGCATAAGAAAAATGCTCATCTATCCTTGGTTTTAATTCTAAAAGTTTCTTATTGGTTCATTTCCCTTAATCACAAGTGAAAATATTAGCTAAGCTTAGCAGTCTTTCAACAAATAAGCAAGTGTTTGAGTATGGCAAACACATTACAGGAGTTACAGTCTCTCCTGCTCCTGAGGCTTACTCTGTAGTTAAGCAACAAAAGCAGTAACAGTTTAAGCACCCTGCTCAAAAGGGGAAGAGAAAGTAACATCTGAGCACAAAGGGTGTCACATAATCTCATTTAAATCTCAGAACAAGCCTCCATTTGGAAGACAAGAAATGTGAACCTCAGTAAAGTTAATTGTTCAAGTTCACCAAGAAAGTAAAATGGCAAAGCCTAGATTCAAACCCAAGTTGTTTTGACCACAACATTCAGGTCCCTTACACTATATGATTGCTTCCCAAGTTCAGGAAAGGGAGAGGTCATGTTATAGATGTAAAGCAAGGCAAACTGAAAGTCTAACTTCAGCAGAATCTTGATCTGCCTAGATGGGAAATGGTCATTCAAGCTATAAGCAAAGAATCAGCAGAGCTGGGGAAGAATCAGCATAGTTGAGAATAAAATGGAAAGGGAGAAGGGAGGGAAACAAATTATGGCAGGGGAAACTAGAAAGGAAATTATAAATAATACAGCCATGAGTTCAGTGCCTGGCACACTTATAAAGATTCAATAAACACTAAATCAATGAAAAACTATAAAGGTGGTACAAGTATAGAAATAAAAAACATTTTAAAGTAAGTGACCCAAGTGTAGGCAATTGTCTGATATTAACAATAGAGAATCAGTCATCTTTGATTCCTTCTTCCTCTGTATCCTTGTCCTCTCATTTCCAAACCTAATACTATAATGGTTTATAAATTCTCCCTCCATAATCATGATCAAACTATTGCTTGCAAACCAGTTTCTTCAGGCTTTTATTACCTCTAATGTAGACCACCTTAGTAACTTCCTTCTCACTAGCTTTTCTGACTGACCTCTGTCATCTCCAAAGTACTGTATACAGCCACCAGAATAATCTTCCAAAGGTGCTGATTGTATAACACTCTACCTACTATTTCCTCGATGTCCCACTGAACACCTGGACACTTACCATATTGGGAAGCAATTTAGAAAGTGGCATCGCTTCCTGGTTCAAATCCTGGCTCTGCTACTTACTCTGTGACACTGGGCAAATTTCAAATAACTTGACTTCTTTTGAGCCTGCTTCCTCATTTGTAAAACAGGAATAATGCCTTTCTCACAGAGTCGTACTGAGAATACATTTAATACAAGTGATAAACTTTGGCCAGAGCCCAACAGATATTGATAGCTCAATAAACAAGTTATTATTCCTTAAACAGTTATTATACTTTCTCATACCTATATCGTTGCTGAAATTTACTTTTTTCTTTCACTTTCACCACCTGCCAAAGCCCTACCCATCCATCCGCTGAGCCTGTTCCAAGTGCTACCTCCTTGATAAGGCTTTTTCAGACTCCCAGAACCAGCACATCATCTCTCTCTGCTCTGTACTTTCACATTTTATTCACAGGACATTGATGCACAGATGCTAAGAAAACTGGATCTGGAGTCAGAGAAATCTGAATATGAATCCTGGCTCAACCACACATATTTACTAAGTGGCCTTAAGCAAGTTAAAGTTTGTGAATGATTCACAGTCACTCTTTCTTATAAGCAAGTTTGGAGTACAGGAAATTTCACAAGTAAAACAGGAGTGAAGAAAGGGAGACAATAATAGAGACTAGTAGATTTGTTGTAAGATAACAGAAAAAATACTGTGGTACAATAGTTGGCACTCAATAAATAGTAGCTATTATTAGCTCAGTTATTAAATTCTAAATCATAATTATGATATACTTGGTCTTATCAGCCTACAGGTAGAAGACAGCACGATTGAGCAGAAAATGAATTCCTAATTCAAACAACCATGAATTTGAATTACAAAACTGGAACACGACAGTTATTGTAAAGCAAGCAACCCAATGTATTTGAATTTACTACATGTGAATTACTTAAAATTAAAAACAGAATTCAATATTCCTAATAATACAAATTGTGGGACTTTGTATAAGTTATTCGACTTTTGAATCAGTTTTTTAAAAGGTAAAGTATTAAGTTAAAATAAGAGAACATAGGTAAAAGCTGCCTAACAGTGCCTGGCAATAGAAAACACTTAATTGCTTAATAAATACAAGCTACCCCCAACCCATTTCTGTGTCCTTCAGAGTGCTTAACACTCACCAGGCACACAACATATGTCCATTACCAGAACACAACTCTGCCTTTGGAAGACATGCCTGCCTCTGATGTAAGAAGAGAATCATTCTGGAAAAATAAAATTTTTTGTGAACAAGCAAGCACTCAGAGATTTCATCACCACCAGGCCTGCTTTATAAGAGCTTCTGAAAGAACCACTGCAGATAGAGAGGAACAACCAGTATCAGCCTTTCTAAAAAATACCAAAAAATAAAGAACATCTACATAATTAAGAAATTGCATCAACTAATGGACAAAACAGCCAGCTAACATTAAATGACAGTATCAAACTCACATATATTGTTATTAATTCTAAATTTAAATCGACTAAATCCCCCAATCCAAAGACACAGGCAAAAAAAAGCCAAGACCCATTGGTATGCTATATCCAGATCCATCTCACATGCAAGGATACACAAAGACTCAAAACAAAGGGATGGAGAAAAATTTACCAACCAAATGGAGAGCAAAAATAAATAAATAGAAAGCAGGAGTTGCAATTTTTGCTGATAAAATAGACTTCAAAGCAACAGAGATCAAGAGAGGCAAAGAAGGATATTACATAAAGATAAAAGGATCAATGTTAACAAGAAGAGCTAAAGATCCTAAACATATATGCACCCAATACAGAAATACCCAGATATATAAGACTTATAAAGAGACTTGGACTCCCACACAATGATAGTGGGAGACTTCAACATCAGTATTAGACAGATCAATGAGACAGAAAGTTAACATCAATATTCTGGACTTGAACTCAGATCCGGAACAAGTAGACTTAATTAACATTCATAGAACTCTCCACTTTAAATACACAAAATATACACTCTTATCAGTACTACATCACACGTATTTACAGGTTTAAATGAAATATTGGTTGGCTGCTTGTTAATTATTTTCTTCCCTC